AAACGCGTTTGGGAATTTAATCTTAAAGAAAGTCAGAAAAAGACAGTGTTTGATTTTTCTGTACCGTGCCAGGTCACATCCTCATCAGAAGGAGTTCCTAGCAACTACCTTGTATTAATTACATTAGTGTAAATTTGGAATGACTGTTTGTTTTACTTTTCCAGTGGAAACCTTCAGAGAGTTCTTCCACCAAACTGTTCCAGTGTAAATCTGAAATGCTTGTGGCTTGGTCTATCTGTTATATATAATAGGAAGGGTAATCTTGCTATAATTTCCTTTTCATTTAATATTATCCCTTACTCAACCCCATTTAATGTATAAGTGGCGTGTGGGTACCTTATTCCGAAAGGCATGACATTGCAGTTATCTGTATTGAATCTAATCTGCCACTTGCACGGTCCCCCCAGTCTATTCAAAACTATTCTATGCACCCTCAATGATCTTATTAAGGAGATGTGCTAGTAGGACTTAGACCAGCACAGAGATGGCTGAATAGTAAGTAAAATGCACCCTTCGAGCCCTGATATGGCAGAAGGGACATTAGCACAGTTAAGTAAAAACTATAGCATTCTGAGTGACTCTGTAACATGAATCCCTGAATCACAAGTAATATTCATAATTGCCTCTCCATCCAGACTGTATGGCTTCATGAATTCTGTCGGGTGATTATCCAGAAAAAAGCCATCCTTGTTATGTAGATGCATACACTCTTCATTATTATACAGTGTCTTTGAACCTTCTTCAAGGTCAAGAATTCATGCCTTGCAGTTGCAGCCTGACATTGTGTCCCAGCTTTCAGCATGATGGCCTTATTATCACTTCACAATTTTGCAATAGGTCTTAGCTGGAGCAGTTTCCCAAAGGTACTTATAAGATTTATAAGCACTATTTCACACTCAAAATACATGGAAGGAATCAGTGTTTTTCCAGAGCTGTTTGCCATCCACACAATGATTCTCCAGGAAAAAACAGTCCAATGAAAAATACAACTAAACCTTAATTATTATTACTATTATAATTTATAAAGATAGAAACAGAATGTGACGGCAGATGAGAACCATTCGGCCCATCTAGTCTGACCAATTTTCTAAATACTTTTATTAGTCCCTGGCCTTATCTTATATCTAGGAAAGCACAACAAATTCTACAGCACTGTACCATTGTATAATAGGTGGACTAGCAGACAATTATTTGCAACAAGACAAGTTGGACTCAATCACGTATATCATGTAATCCTGCAGGAACAATGGTTCATATGAACAATCAAAACTGAGATACAACCTAAATGTTTTCAAATATGTTTCTTCGTGCTTTGATCATTGTTTTCACTTATTTCTTGCAAATCATACATTACATTTTCACACAATCGCAAATCTTTAGAAATATTGTGAAATTCAGTTTGCTCTCAAAACATTAGGATCACTTTACTTTTCTATATTACGATGGAAATATTGTCATATGAGATAATATTACAGTGAGTTCTATTTGCTGTAGTTATAGGTCAGAGAGAGCCCTTTAAATTTCCAGTCCAGATGCAATTGAAAGTAAAAATCAGACAATATCTCCATCTAGTGTATTGTTAAAGAAGTAACATCACAAAAAAACAAGTTGGAAGGCGTAACAATTATTACAATTACAATTCTTTATTTAGCACCACTATATTTCACAGCACTGTGCATTAGTAAACAAGACAAACACTTAATCCTAACAAAACATGTATGACATATGGGAACAGGAAGTGAAGGATGCCTGTCCAAATGAACTTACAATCTAAAGGAACGATGGACAAATACACAAAAGGAAGAAATGGAATGAAGTGATTTGAAAATACAAATGGTATGAGAGGGGTGTTTGGCAGGAGGGAACATTGTAGGTGGGAGATGGCAGAGGAAGGTTGTAGAAGATGAGAGCTTTTCTAAAGAGGTGTGTTTTAGGCACTTATACGTATGTGTTTTGCGCAAATATTATTATTATTTATAAACAGCCAACAAGTTCCGTAGCACTGTACAATGGGTGGACTGACAGACACATATTTGTAACCAGTCAAGTTGGACGCACAGGAACAAGAGGAAATTGAGGGCCCTGCTCAATGAACTTGCATGCTAGATGGAGAGGGGTAATGAGACACAAAAGGTAAGGGTAGGGTAGAAAAGTAGGTTGCTAGGATAGTATTCATTAAAGGCTTATTGCTTTGTTTTGATGACAGTCATTTGACAACCTCTGGGGCAGGGGTAGGCAACCTTCCACACTCCAGTTGTTGTCGACTAAATTTCTTGTGATGCTTTGCCAGCACATTGTCTGTAAAAGTATTATGGGAGATGTCATCCATGACAGTTCCCATTAAACAGTGTGCTTAATTAGAATTTAGAATTTCTTATACTTCTTCTCTGTAACAGCAGTCACCAATGTGTGGTTAAAGCTCAATTAACAGTGTAGGAGTTAAACTTGGAAACATACAGTGCTGTAAACATAACTTTTTCCATGGAGGATGTGTGTCACAACCAGGGGAAGTGTTGCTAGGTTTGCACAAACAATGTGGTTTAGTGGCACACTATAGTGCAGTAAAAACCTGAATTAGTTATGCTATAGTGTCAGTGTCCCTAGGTCTATACAGGACACCCTCCCGATTGCAATAAAAATTATAATGTTTTACTCACCATTGTCCAGTGCCAAAGCTCCCTTGGCACTGCTGATCTCTTCTCCTCCTGTGACGTCATGGAGGAAGCATGGTCTCCTTCGGATTGTTCCAATCCATTGCTCCTCGTAGAGGAGCGCATATGCGGCGAGTGCCGCTCGTGTATTCAACCTTTCCCATAGAAAAACATTGAATCATAACGCTAAATAAAGCTTCATAAAGCTAACGGTTGTTTGTTTTTTGTGGTTAGAGTATTCCTTTAAAAGCAAGCTAACTTGACATGTCCGCTTTAACAATTATTGTTTTCTTTCAGTCTTGTTTTAAAAATTGGATCCTGGTGATTCTAATGATTTCAAAATTTGATTCAAGATCCAAAGCTTTCAATAAAAGGATATGCCAAGTGTCATTGAAATATAATTAAAGAAACAAAAAGAATAAAAACTAGGTTTACTAATTTTTATTTGAAATGTGCTAGTTAAAGTGTTACAGCTAGGTGGTTTAATTCTGCCAATAGTGATATGCATTAAAGGAACACTACAGGCACCAAGACCACTTCATTTCAATAAATATATCTAGGTGCAGTGACCCCATTCATCGTTTTTGTTTTGTAAATGAGACATTCTTTTCATTGTAGGGCTAAACATAATTCTATTGGTTGTCTTCCTAACAGCCACTAGAAGGTGCTTCTGCTGCTAGAATCGAGTCAAACTCAGTTATGTGACATTTACTTAAACATTTTAACAGTGACCAATGGTGTCTTTGTATGTAATTAGTTATTTCAAGTAATCAGATTGTGGTGTAATCTCTCAGATATTAGTGCATGGGGTGATGAAATCTTTTATCTCATATTTTATCTCTTCCAACAGCATGGGAACCTATGAGAATGTGATACTCTAAGCTTCTCTGGAGCTTATTATAACCACATGCATTGCTTGAATCCTGCAGGAACGCGTGGGAATGGCAATCCTGCACTTTTTCCACAGCAGGAATGCCGTTCCCTTTAGTATTCTCAGGGCCGGCCTTTGGGGTGTGGGCACCATGACAAAAGGGGCGCCGGGGCGGCCGACACAGCTTGCAACAAGTAGACTGAAACTGACTGCTGACATACTGTGAATTGAACAAAACATACTGCAAGTCCACAAACAGCATTTTTTATTCAGTTCACAACTTGTTCTGTTCCTTACTGTTAGTGTGTGGTCCGACTCCTTCCGAATCTGTTGTGCTTGCAACTTGTGGCCGTGCAGCATTACTTGATGTGGAGGAGGAGCATGGAGGTGCGCATCCCCACGTACTGACGTCGGCATGCACCACCTTCACGATGTTTCAAACAGTGTGCCGTGCATGGAAGGATGTGCTCTTAGTGCAGCTGCAGCTTTGCAGGAAATTATCCCATCTAGCCTCTCTGTATGCTAGATTTTAAATTAGATTTTAACATTACCCTGTTATTAGTTAATATGTAAGTGGAGCCTTTCTTTGGTATTGTTGTTTTTTAAATTTTATATTTATAGTAAGAGGCTGGGCAGGGGGTTTTGTGGATTGCGAGGACCAGTTTGTGAATGTTCCTGGAGAGTGGGCTCTCTGTAATGGAACCCCCCCTCCCTCCCCAACACCTCCACCTTTCAAGATCCACAACTCGCAATTGGAGATTAAAAATGGTGTCTTTTAGAGTGCCCCTCCCCCGCAAGCTTCCATTACACACAGGGCCTCTAATGAAGATTAAACAGGCCTGTAAATGGCAACAATTCAAGTCCTATTAGGATCCCGTTAGAGCCTCTAATAGAGATTAAAAGGATCTAGAGGGGATTCTAACCTAAAGTGGGAGGGGACAGGACAGGGGAGAGACACAAGTAGAAGATGTATGAGGAGATCTAGAGTGACAGGTACAGTTATAGCAAAGGGTGGGTGAGAGACACCAGTGAGAGAAGGGTGGTTAACAGACAAACAGATATAGATGAAAATAGATAGGTGGAAATGTGGATAGAGAGACAAAGAAGGAAACAGACACATTGGGAGTCATGGAGTAGAGACAAATGGGCCAAAATAAGGGAGAAAAACATACAAGAAGATGGGTAGATACAAAACTGTGAGAAAAAGGAAAACTATAAGGTTCAAAAAAATAATAGGTATGCACATTTTCAATCTCAACATTTAGATGAACACCTAAACATCATTTACAAACATACACAATTTCATACAATTACATTAATATATTTAAACACACACAGAAGCTGACATTCTACACATGTACACATTCACACACAAGCTGACACTACAAAAACACTGCCATTCAGGGCCGGACTGGCCCACCGGGATACCGGGAAATTTCCCGGTGGGCCGTCGGCACCTGGGGCCGGGCAGCCAGCTGGCTCACCTGCGGCCGCAGAGGGAGCTCCTTTGGCGGCCGCAGGGTTTGCTCGCTGTTCTTGCAGCCGCAGGGGGAGCTGGCTGTTGTGTCTCTGCTCCACCTCCCCTGCGCGCCGCTTAATGAGACCGGGGCCGGAATATGACGTCATACTCCGGCCCCGGTCTCATTAAGCGGCGCGCAGGGGAGGTGGAGCAGAGACACAACAGCCAGCTCCCCCTGCAGCCGCAAGAACAGCCAGCAAACCCTGCGGCCGCCAAAGGAACTCCCTCTGCGGCCGCCAGAAGAGCTCCCCAAAGGTAGAAATTGTGTATGTGTGTGTGTGTGTCTGTGTCATTTGTGTGTGTGTGTGTCTGTCTGTCATGGTGTGTGTGTCTGTGTCATGGTGTGTGAGTGTCTGTCTGTGTCAGCAATGTGTGTCTGTGTCAGTTTGTGTCTCTGTGTCATGGTGTGTGTGTCACTGTCTGTCATGGTGTGTGTGTGTGTGTGTGTGTCTGTCTGTGCCATTGTGTGTGTCTCTGTGTCATGGTGTGTGTGTCACTGTCTGTCATGGTGTGTACGTCTGTCTGTGTCATGCAATGTGTGTCTATGTCATGGTGTGTGTGTGTGTCTGTCATGTAATGTGTGTCTGTCTGTGTCACAGTCTGTGTGTGTGTTTGTCTGTGTCATGTAATGTGTGTCTGTCTGTCACGGTGTGTGTGTGTCTGTGTCACGGTCTCTCTGTGTCGTGGTGTGTTTGTCTGTGTGTCACGGTCTGTCTGTGTTATGGTGTGTGTGTCTTTTTCAAGGTGTGTGTCTGTCATGGTGTGTGTGTGTGTGTCTGTCTGTCATGGTGTGTCTGTCTGTCATGGTGTGTGTGTGTTTCTGTCTGTGTCACGGTCTGTCTGTGTCATGGTGTGTGTCTGTCATGGTGTGTGTGTATGTGTGTTTTTACTCACTTTTTTTTTTTCCCCACGTCATGCTGGTCTCCCCTCGCCTGGCTCTTTCTCTACGGCTGAGATCATCAAGCTTGATGATCTCAGCCAATCCGCACTGACACAGGAAGCACCTTTGGTGACCGTCTGAGTGTCTGTCACTAGGAAGCAATGTAAACACTGCCTTTTCTCTTAAAAGTCAGTGTTTACATTGAAAATCCTGCAGGGACAGGCTATAGACACCAGTACCACTACATTAAGCTGTGTGTGTGTGCGCGCACTTGCTTGTGTGTGTGTGTGTGTGTGCCTGCTACTGAGTGAGCTTGTGTTTTTATGTCAATAACCTTATGTATGAGGCTGTGTATCAATCAGCTTGTGTCAGTGAGATTGTCTGTGTATGCATGTGAGTATGCTTACTGTATAATTAAAAATTTTACTCTGAAAGGAGATGTCCTGACGAAAGCTTGAGGGGATCAAGCTGAAACGTTGACCTTGTGTTGTTTTAGTGGAGGTAATAAAAGTTATATTTTATATTAGTCCCTGGAGTGCTATCTCTGGCAATATTTTTTGCATTTTTGGCTGACAAGCACCAGGCATTTGTTTTTTTTTTTACCAGGCACTGCTTGCCTTTCTTCCATCTCTGACTGGATGTCTTCACGCTTTCTGAAACTTAATCTCTCTAAAACTGAACTCCTTGTCTTTCCTCCTCCTAATACTGATCCTCCTCTCTCGCTCTCCCTTCAAGTCAGTGATATTCACATAAGTCCATCCCTGCAAGCGCGCTGTCTTGGCGTCATACTTGACTCTGGTCTCACCTTTGAGTCTCACATCCAGTTTGTTGCCAAGTCCTGTAGGTTCCAACTCAAAAACATAGCCCGCATTCACCCCTTTCTTACGCAAGATGCTACCAAGGAGCTTGTCCATGCTCTAGTAATTTCCCGCATGGATTACTGTAACCCTCTCCTGATTGGTCTTCCCAAAAGCCGTATTGCCCCGCTACAGTCTGTAATGAATGCTGCAGCTAGACTGATTTTCCTCTCTAGTCGGTCCTCTCACACCTCACCCCTCTGCTGGTCCTTACATTGGCTCCCTGTATGCTATAGGAGTCAATTCAAAGTGCTAACCCATACATTTAAAGCACTGAACAA